GGGCTTTCTCGCCCCGGAGCTCGCAGGTAGCAATCCGCTACCTCGACCTCCGGGGCGAGAAAGCCCCGTTCGTAAGTGCGGATCCGACATAAGTCGGATCCGCGTAAGTCGGGGACTGCCTGTATACTTCAAAATAAGATCTACGGATCGAGCAGACTGTGACATTAGGATTGATTGGTTATATGAGGTATTTTGTCTACAGCATCTTTGAGTTATGCATATTTGTATCCATAATACAATTTCATTCAGCATGGGGGAAACTGTCACATATATAATGTCAATTTAACAAGCCATACGCTGGATCAGATTATTGACATTTTATAACCAGTGTGCTACAGAAAGTAGTTTTCAGGAGACTGAAAGATGCATACTGTGCACCAGACAGGATCAAATTTTGTCATCTTATTGTCAGTGTTGCCTGTGCCTGCGTAAGTGTAGAATATCTATGACTCATTGATTTACCCATGAAACTCCCTTATTTGAATCTCTCTTCAAACTCCCTCTTCTCAACTGCATCAAGTTTAATCTTGTTCAAAACCCTATACAATTCAACTCACCTGCAACTCTGATACCACCTATGCGCCAGGAGTGCCAGACTCAATAACCCCATTCTCTACTGCTACTCTTGGCTGCATCCCATCCTCTACATGAAATGACCTTTTGCTGCCAATTCTTATTAAAATGTATCCTAAAGAGTCCCTGCTTTATTCTTCCCACAAGAAGTGATTATTTTTTTTAATTCTCCTGCTCTGCAAGTGCATCCCGACACCTCTGTCCATTAGACGGTATTTTTTTCAGGGTAGGGATTGTCTTTTGTGTATTTTTCTGCATCAAGCAGATGGCATTAAATAATAACATGAAGAAATGTGAGAGACAAATATTAAAGACTATTTAGAAATTATCAAAGAAAATAAGTAGGGAGGAGTATAGTTTTTCTGGGCAAAGAAAGATTTGAAATATAGAAATCATGAGTGAAATCAAATGGGATAAAGTAATGGAGGGGAATGATACAAATGGGAAATAGCAAGTGTTCTAAGATAAATGAATGTATGTCCTAATGTTATGCATGTTGCTTAGCAACAAGCAGTAAAAATGTGGATGAACAAGTAAGAACAAAAAGTAATTAAAGGAGAGAAAGGCATATGTGTGGTACAGTATAATAATCAGGTAGAGGGGGGAAATATGAAAAAAAGCAAAGACGGAGAATGAAAAATAGATTTCAGAGAATGTTAAAAATAAACGAGACCCTTTTTAATCTGTATAGTCTGATTCTATTTTTGCATAATATTAGAGCAAACAGGTATCTACTTGCACTAACACATAATACCTCATTGTATGCGCTCAATGTTAAAGAAGAATTTATAGAAGAAAAGCAATAAAGTGAGTAATTCCATAGCAAGAGTTTATTCTGCAACATAGAATTAACACAGCTTTTAAAAAATTCCAGTCACATAGAAAATGAGCAATTTAAATAATACTACTATCTTTAGGCAGAAATCCAACTTGCCCATAGCCTCTGTCTCTGAATCACTTCTGGGGAGAGCGTGTTCTTGTGACTGCTTTCAAAGCTTCATTTCCCAGTTTTTCAAATAGGCACAATTTCCTAGAGTATGTTGCGGCACTAGAATGTGTTCAAATATTATTTTGATTTTATTGAGAGATTTGTGGTCAAAATGTATTAAAATAAATTCTTCTTGATTTTTTTTTCATCTCACAGCTGTCCTAGGGAAAATATACAGCATAGTACTGATAGTCACTGAATCTTGCATGAATGATAAATCCCTTTAAAAGAAGAATTGTCTTGTCATCGATGTGGGAATCAGGAGACATGGTTTCTATTCCTAGCATTGCTACAGGCTTTTTGTATGCTCTTCATCAAGTCACTTAACATCTAAGTGCCTCAGTTTCCTCACTGTTGAAATGAAGATAATTTTACCAACTTCATAAGGATGCTATAATGTCATAATCATTAATGCTAATACACTGAGATTCTCTGGTACATGCTGTAGAAGTATTATTATGCCAGCTATTACATGAATCTTTTTTTTACAATGTTTGTAATTTGTAAGTATTATCAAAAACAGAAAGTTTTAAAAATATGGTGGTGAAGACGTTTTGTATAACTAAAGGACTTACCCGCCATTGCCCGGGTTCTTCAGCACAGGGGCCTGGTAGTGTTGAGATGCAGGAGGCAGGGTAGGAGGCTGGAGGTGTGTGAGAATTAGGGTTGGTAGGTGAGAGGGGGTCAAGGAAGGGGGTCCCATCGGGCAGGGTTTTTTCTCCCTCCATCTCTAGCCAGCAGAACCTTCAGTTCTTCTTCGAGTTATGTCCCCGTGGGTGCTCCACTGTTGGTGATGGGTCACCTGGAGCTGCAAATCGGAGCATTGCACAGCAATTACCCCCACCCTCCTCAGGCCATGCATGGACAGGAGGAGTCTCACGCTGCTGCCTCCTGAGCTCCTGACGCTCGGCCTGCCCCCTCCCCTTCAGTTCCTCTTCAACCGCCCTCTCATTACCTCAGATTGTTAGTTATTTAGCGTTTGGGCAGTTTCTTTTATAGAGTTAGCATTAGATATTTGTGTAAATAGTTTCCTTCCTTCATTTTTACCTAAAAAAAATTCCCCTCAGGGGGTTTGAACAGGGCGCTAGCCACTTGCACTCGGTTTGCTGCGCTTATCTCGGTTCCTGGCCCCTCTCTCTCTCTCTCTCTCTCTCGCTCTTAAAAAAAACAAAAACAAAACCCTGACGGTGTCAAATCAACAAATATTAACTAATATGTCTGCCTCCTCAGGCTTTAAGAAATGTACTGACTGCTGAGAGCCCATGCCAGTATATGATGACCATTCCCTCTATATATGCTGTTTGGGGAAGCCCACAACCCACAAAAATGTAAGCACTGTTCAAGCCTGAGAGCGAGAAGAGATAGAGAGGCCCACCGGAGAATGATGCTGTTTGATAAGGCTATACAGCCTGCTAAGGCGCAAGACACCACCTCTAGCCAGGTTGGCTCTCCAATGAAAAGGGCTGCTGCCCACCCCCCAAGAAAGCCACAAAGAAGAGAGCTTCTCCAGCTCACGCTGTCCCTCCTTCCTCCTCCCCAAGAATTAGCAGGGGAGAGAGACCTGGAACATCTGGGGCAAACACCATAAAATCAGCAGACAGAGCACATACTGCAGCATTTACACCGGTGTGTGCCTCTTCGGTGCCGAGAGAAGCACCAGGGTGCTCTGCTCTCCCGGCCCCGCTTAAGAGCTTGACGTAACAAAAAGCCAAGGCACCGCAGGCAAAAGTGGCACATTTTAAGCTGGCATCACCTTCAATGCCACTGTGTCCCCGTGGGTGCTTCACGACCCTCCCTTTCTCTCCTCTACTTGGAGTCTTAGTTGCTTGGACATAGAAGAGGAACTGAAGGGGAGGGTCTGTGCTGTGCATGTCGTGTGTTTGGGAGGCAGCGGTGTGAGAGTTGCTTTGCAATGCTCCGATTTGAGGCTCCAGGTGACCCATCACCATCAGAAGAGCAACCATGGGGACACACTTCTCAAAGAACAGTTGTTACTGCACGAAGTAACTAACTCCCTTTTCCCTCCAAGAGCCAGCAGG